AGTTTTCGGAGATGCCGCTCTCGAGGTCGTGGCCCTAAAAGTAGATTAGGTTCTTGGCTTTTGTCCTTTACTTCTTTGTTCCTATGTAAGGACCCTTCGCGGATGTTCTAAATATATTTTGTAACCATCTCTTGAAAATGTAAAAGGATCTCTTTGTCTCATTTTTGGCTCGTGTTGAATTCCAATCCGTCTTTATTTGTGAAAAATATTGATTGTATAACTTTAGTGATTAGTCCGAATACCGGACTCAGAACATAATAAACCCTTAGGTTTTCAATCGATCAACATAATACCCCTTAAGGTTTTTGTTAATCCTCGAGCTAAGCTTAAATTGATCTGATGCGAGCTCGGGACATCGGGACACCTGAGTTCTAGTTTAGTGAGAGCAAGGTCTCGAATTTGAAATAAAGTTAGCCGTTAGGCTTTGTAGATAATCCCGAGAGAGAATTTTCTCAAACCCGAGTAGTCCTTGGGCTTAGTAGTCGAGTGAGCACTTGCTCGAATTTCGAAATAAGTTGACAAGAAACAAGTTAACCTTCGACGCGTTGATCCTGATGTCAATCTCGTGACGTCAGCGGCCGAAGTAACTGAAAGGTTGCTTTTCGTGCGGTTCCCAAAGTCATTAATTGGAGGCGACTGATGGTCAGCTTTTTGGCTTCCTCGGTACGCTTAAATGACCTCTATAAATAGATCAACTTCACAATCTTACAAACTTTATTCTCATATTAGCACTTTCAACTTCTATGAATTCTCTCTTCTCTTCTATTAGCTCTTATTTCATTATCAACATTCTCCATTTTCTTGAATTTCTGCATTATAATGTCTAAGACATCTAAATCAGTTCCGCAAAAAGAAAAATCTTCTTCATCTTATCAATCGACCAAGAGTAAAGTGGTAGTTCCCCCTCGTATTGAGGAGTGCATTCCCCTGCCATGTGAAATAACATCCGATTTCAAGATCGAGAAACCAACACTAGGCCGATGCGAGCCCATGTCTCGATACGTCTGTTTGATAACCGAGGACGAGCTCCAGCAAGTAAAGAATGACTGCAAGTGGGAGAAGAAAGACATAGTGATCCCTTCCCCCGAGGAGGACATCACTACATATAAAGCGGAGTACTTAAGTGTGTATACCTATCCATTCACGATGGGCCCCGCAATTCCAGCTCAGGGTCCCATAGATCCGGTCATTCTTGACTTTTGCCGATGATACCAGGTGACGCTTCGCCAGATCTACCCTTCATTTTGGCGAATAGTTCATTTGATCAGATTCTTTTCGAGTTAGGTCGAGGGGATGCCTTTCACCCTCGACCATCTGATCAGGCTGTACAGTCCTTGACTTTACCGAGGTGGCTTGATAAAACTGCAACGGTGATCCTTGAAATCTCTCTTCTCCAGTATCGATGAGGACAAAGACCGAGGGTGGATGAGCCGGTTTGTTCGAGTCAGGACCTCCGACCTGATTCCTGCTGATTGGATGCCATTCCCCGAGGAATGGAACATGAAACGTAAGTGCATGGTAACTTTATACCCTGCCTTCTTTTCTTTTTCTGGGCTTTATCTTTTCCCTTGGTCTAACCCCTTTCCGATGGCGCAGCTACTGCTTGGTTCCTTGGTACGGTCCCGGACCTTGAAGGCTGGGTCCAAAAACTGGCTTCTACTTCCTCGAATTCGGGGCGTTGCTGGCGAGATTTGGCCAAGGGCCAATGGGAGGTCAATAATCATGGTCAGTTCTCTTGTTTGTTTACTTGTACTTCTTTAGCAGAATACATACATTGGTTTTGTGCAGGACTCGGAGACGTTATTGCTATGCGGCCGGCCCCAGCTGGTGAAGAAGAGATCCCGAAGCCTTCAAAAGAAAAGAAAACAAAAAGGAGTCACCCGCAAATCCTTCGAAGCCCAAGAAAAGCGTAGCTAAAAAATCCAAGGCTGATACGGTGGCCTTATCTCCGGAAACGGCCCAATGCCTTCGGGATCAGGAGGAAGAAGAAGATGACGACTACCTGTTGGTAGCTCGTAAAAGAGAAAACACCGGTGCTTCGAAGTCTGTCGAACCGGTGATGGTTGATGTGGTTCATTCCAGAGCCGAAGAGATCTCCGAGGGGAGTTCAAACAAAGTCCCCGAGCCATCGGGTAGAAAAAAGGCACCTTGACTAGGAGTCCATTTGGAGGGCGAGGCTGAGGGGCTCGATCCCGAGCCCCTTCAAATAAAAGAGAATGTCCCGAGTGGATCGCTTGGGGTAATCAATGTGGATGACTTACCGCCTGGTCCCGAGTTCTCCGAGGGGTAAATTCGAGATGCTCAGAACATGAGATTTTCTGAAGTGGGGCGAGCCACGAAGGGCATGACATCTTTCGAGAATGCCTAGCAGGGATTGAAGATGGCCCCAACCCAGATGCTTCTTTCATCTTTGAAGAGGTACGTCGACTCTTCAAACAAGTGAGTTTTCTGTCCTTTAGAATTACGCCTATGTTTTGCTTTTGTTGTTCTGAATCTAACTTTCCCCCTTTTTATGAAGGCTGTGGTGCTCCATAAAGGGAATTTTCCAAGTCTCGGGCTAATCTTGCTCGATGTGAGGCTGAGCTTAAGAAGATCTCGGAAGAGATGGACAGTCTTAAAACCCTCTATGTCAAGAAGGAGGAGGAAATCAGTGATCTTCGAGCCGAATTGGCAAAGGCTTGTCAACAGCGATCCGAGCTTACCAAAGAGGTAATATTCCCTCTGAATTTTTGTCATGGACCTTTATTTTACAGTTTCAACGAAAGGGCGCACTGGTGGAGCGGCTTCGAGAGGAGCTCAAGATGAAGGAGGCCGAAACCTTAGGCTGGAGGCAAGGCATGGAAGATCCTGCCTCTGAGAAAGAAACTTTTCGGGAGCAGCTGGCTTCACTCGAACGTCAGTTCCAAAGCGTGAAGGAGGAGGGCCTGGCTCGAGGCCGCGAAATCGAGGGGCTCAAGGCTAAATTTACGGCTGAGCTGGCTAAGGCCAAATCTGATGTTGAGGCAATTATGTCCTCGTACCGAGCCGATGCTGAAGCAGCTAATTCCCGGGCCAAGGAGATCTCCACTATGGCCAAAGTTAAGTTATCATGTGCACTCGACCACACTAGGGGAAAGTCCCGGAGGGAAACCCTGGAGGAGGTACACGCTCGTGGCTTCGATCTATCAGCCAATATTAAAAAGGAGAAGACCTTAGAAGAAGAGGTTGCTGCTTTTCTTTCTGATGAGGATGATTCAGCCAGTGGCTCCGACAGTGGAGGAGACAAAGATGGAGTCACCGAGGGTGAGGCCCACGAAGATACTGCTCCTGAAGACGCAGCTGCCGAAGATATGGCCCCGAAGTAGATTTAGGTTTCCTTATTCGCATTATTTGTGCAAGTATCCCTTGTGTAGATATCTTTTGTAATCACCTTTTGGAAATACAAGAGGAACTTTTTATCGTATTTTCGACTTGTGCTGGATTTCATTTTGTCTTTGTTTATGGAATACTTTGATTGTATAACTTGAATGATCGGTCCGAGAATTGATTTGCACTTGGGATATGACAAACCCTTAGGTTTTTTTCGATGTGAGCTCGAGATGCCGGGACTCTTGAGTCCGAGTTGAGTGCAGGGTCTCGAACTATATGTATTTCGGCCATTAGGCTCCTTTAGATTGGCTCTTAGGCTCTTTTAGGTTGGCCCTTAGGCTCCTTAAGTTGGGCCAATTCGGCCTCTAGAATGGCTATATGATTTTTCCACATTTTCGGCTAAAATACTTAGTGAAAATTTTGTATGCCTTGGCATGTGTTTGTTGGGTTTTTTCGAGGGTTCGACGTATCAGAACCTTATTAGTAACTTGTTTGTGTGACGAAAATTGAATACCTCTTGAGGTTTTTCCGAAGACTGAAATTATCGAAGCCTTTAGATTATTCGAGGGCTGAATTTATCGAAGCCCTATATATTTTGCTTTTGCTGAGGGTAGCCTGATTTAACCGGTTTTTACAAAGTGTTTGAAGGCCTTTAATTTATAGCGGAAGTCGGACGTCTCAGAGCCACATTATTTCGGCCATAGCCTTTAATATGGTTGTAGCCTTCTGGTATGCCTCTTGGACTTGTTCCCTGATAACCTTTCGAACTTGTTCGAAAGGTTAGTCCCCGAGTATATTGGCCTTGGCCTTTGTTTCGAGGGGATGCCTCTTTGAGGTCTTATGAGCCCGAGTTTTTGATGGCTCGGATATGTTGACTGTCGATAATAGTCCCCAAGTGTCTCGGGGTCATATTCCTGCTTTGGCCCTTGAGCCGTATCCCGTAGGATTATAAATGTAGAGCTCGTATGATAGTAGACTTTCTTTGAGACACAAAGTGTTTTTTTGATATAAACAGAATGCTTCTCTAAATAATTGATACATGCGTTCATGTTTCACCGTCAGGGCTCGACTATTCTATATGGACACGGTTCATCTGACCATTTGGCCCATTACAAAATTTTCCTATCGAGGCCCTCTTAGGCATGAAGTATTTTCCTTGAAAATATAACCTCCGAGGGTGATGTCCCCCAGTATTCGAGGTTGACTAAAAAGAAGCCTTGGATACCATTGAGTTCTCTTAGGGAGCACGTAATTGTTGCCTCATTAAAAACCTTGTCGGTAAAACCCATTTGGGACAAAATCTGATCTAAGGGAAAAAGAGTACAACTCATGCTTTAAAACCTAAGGCCTTCGCGTAAAAAAGGTGTCTTTGAGATCGCGTACCTTCGAGAGCTTCGATCGAAAATCTATAATAGTTAGTTTTAAACTCAAGTGGAAAAAGGATAAAGTCATACCTTAGTATTAGTATCGCTTAATGATATGTTCCAATTGTTCGGCAGTTGTTCACCTTCCATCGTGCTGAGTTTGTAAGATCCTTTACCAACAATTTCGAGGACTCAGTGCGGTCCTTCCCAGTTCGGGCCCAGTTTTCCTTCGTTCAGGTCTCGAGTATTGAGTGTGACCTTTAGTAGAACTAAGTCCCCGACTCCGAAATGTCGGAAGTTAGTCCTTCTATTGCAGTATCTTCGATCCTTTGCTTTTGCGTGGCCATTCGAACAAGTGTTGCTTCTCATTTCTTCATCTACCTTCGGGGTATGAAGCAAAGGCGGGCTCAACAGATATCGCTTTAATTCTTGCTGACATTCTGGGGTCCACGCGAAATCCTTTTTCTTTTTTAGCAAGGAGAAGAACCGGTAACTCCGATCCAACGACCTCGAAATGAATCGACCCAAAGTAGTTATTCGCCCTGTTAGCCTTTGCACGACCTTCACACTATCCACGATCGTGATATCTTTGATAGCCTTGATCTCATCGGCATTGATTTCGATACCCCGATTTGACACCATGAAGCTGAGGGACTTACCCGAGCCAACTCCGAAGGCACATTTCTACGGGTTAAGCTTCGTGTTGTATTGCCTCAAAATTTCGAATGTTTCCTGCAAATGAATTAAATGGTCCTCTGCGTGCAGGGACTTAACAAACATATCATCAATATAGGCTTCCATTGTTTTACCTATTTCTTCTTCGAACATTTTGTTAACTAGGCATTGGTACTTAGCTCCTGCATTTTTTAAGCCCGAAGGGCATTATGTCGTAACAATAAGTTCAAAATTTAGAAATAAATAAAGTCTTTTCCTGGTCTTCCGGGTTCAACTGAATTTGATTGTACCCGGAATACGCATCGAGAAAAGTTAGGATCTCGTGGCCAGCCGTGGCGTCGATCACACGATCGATGTTTGGCAATGGAAAAGAATCCTTCGAACATGCCTTATTCAAGTCCTTATGATAACTAGGGATTTTGACGCATTTTATACTCCTTCTTATGCTTTGAGTAGAAATTCATACAAAATAGTCCCAAACGGCTCACAAGTTGTGCTTGATTGCAGGTTTGATCATCAAAGTGACGAAATGTCAAAGATCAGCTCAAAAGGAGTGAAACTTGCACAAGTGCCAAAGACAAGACAAGCTCAGGCAAAACAGGCCCAGTGCGGCTGCACACCACTTTGTGCGGTCCGCACTAAGAGATTCAGAGAGGCTGACTTCCAGGCTAAAAGGCAGTGCGGTCGCACTAGGTTTTGTGCGGTCCGCACTGAAGGCAATGCGGCCGCAGTCGATTTAGTGCGGTCCGCAGAGCCAAGAATCAGAGAAGTTGCAATTTGGAGTTTTCAAGCCAATGCGGTCCGCAGTCCATTTTATGCGGACCGCACTAGAAGCCTCCGCGGCCGCAGTCCATTCTTTGCGGTCCGCGATGCCAAGATTCAGAGAGCTAGTTTTCAAGGCCAAAGCCCCAGTGCGGACCGCGATCCATTTTTTGTGGTCCGCACTAACCCCGCAGGGGCATTTTTGTCCAGATTTTTCAGCCTAGTATAAATAGCTTCTTTTTTCATTTTTAGGGTATCAGATATTGTAATTAAGCAGCTGCACTCGTGGGTTTGACTTTCTAAGCCATTTTGGGCAATTTTAGCTACTTTTAATCATTGAATCTTTGTATTTAACTTAGTGATTAATTATTATGAGCTTTTCTTCATCTATTTCTTGCTTTTCTTCTTTGAATATGATCAGCTAGACCCATAAGCTAGGGTTGTGGCTCAACCCTAGTGTGGGTAATTGATGGGTCTTGTAATTTAGGGCTAAATTGACTATGGGTGTTTGTTATTTGGGCCAACTTCATGGTTAATTTCTGAATTAGTGGTTGCAAACACTAGTTTTTGTTGAGTTGACTTGAGCTCTTCTTGAGAAAGAGAGCCTAAGTCTCTGAAATTGGTCCAACAATGAATTGGGGCGTACTCAAGAGATTGATAGCCCCAATTAAAGGGTTAAACCTCGAGAGAGTAATACCCGAATTGAACCCTAGTTGCTTGTGCAAATTTGCATACCCAATTGGTCTTGAGAAAGCTAATTCGGGCAGAATCACTCGAACCACCGAGAGTTGTAGAGTGGGTAAATTCGTGCAACGGTTATAACATATTCCCCAAACATGTCAAACGTGCCTTAGATTCAAGTACCCGTCAATTGACCACCTAGGCGGTAGTCACTACCCTAGTGCCTTTTAAACCTATTTGAACAACTCGTAGCATTATAACTCTTAGCATAATTTAGTTGCAATTACCATTTGTAGTTTGATAATAGTAGAAGTAAACAAAAACCCCAAAAATGAATAGAAGTGTAATTAAGAACATATACACAATTCTACACTAGATAGATACTCGATTCCAAATTCTCGCTCTTTGTGGATTCGATCCCGACCCTAAATCGGGAAAAAGCTTCTCCGACCCTCTCTCGCTACTTAAATAGTAGTGCGGAGTAGGCCGCGATCACTTTTTGGTGCCGTTGCCGGGGAGCTAACGGTTTTGGCTATCTATTTAGTTAGATTTGTGTTTGGTTCTTCTTTCCTTCTTGTTATTAATTTGTATGTGTCAATATTTCAGGTACCAAAATGGCCTTAAATGCTAATGACCCTCTTGGAAATGTGAATGCGGGGGAGGAGGTAGATGACATTGGAGAAGAAGAGGTGCCTCTTGTACCTCAAGGACAACGTAGAGGCCGCCAGGCCAATGCAAATGACAATATTCCAGACCCTCCTCCGCCATCTCCAAGAGTGGCTCCCAGAGTTTTTCCCAACCAAGGCTATGCGAGTGCTATTGTTCCGCCCCGAATTCGGGCGGGCAATTTTCAAATAACCAATGTGATGCTGACATTATTGGAGTAGCGTGGGTATTTCACAGGTGCTCCCACTCATAATGCGTATAAACATCCCAAGGGGTTCGTGGATACCTGTTGGGGGAGCAAGCAAACCAATGTGTCCGAGGATGCACTTCGATTGAGGCTTTTCCCTTTCTCACTTAGGGGGAAAGCATTGGACTGGCTTGGGCGACTCCCCAACCATTCCATCACAACTTGGGATGAGTTGGCAGATAAGTCATTGCCAGATTTTTCTCACCAGGGCACATGGCAGCACTACGGGATGAGATCTTAGCCTTCAAGTAGGAGCCTAGCGAACCATTGCATGAGATTTGGGAGCGATACAGAACTATGGTGAAAGAATGCCCCAACAATGATATGACAGAGGCAATGATACAATAAACCTTTTATCGGGGCGTCAATACAACGAATCAATGCATAGTGAACCAATTGGCTGGGGGTAATTTCATGAAGCTGCCTTATGATGAAGCTTGTGAGATTCTTGATGAAATGGCTGACACATCCTCCGCTTGGCAAAGTAGAGCCAATGTGCCTCATGGTGACACCACGGTTACTCATTTGCACAAAGAACTACACGACCATGGACAGGCTATAGCAGAACTTACAACAACAATAACCAATTAGCAAAGGCACAGTTGCAACAAGTTCAGAATCCACGCCAACTGAATGCTATGGAGGGTGTTAACATGCTAGTGAACCAAAGAAGGTGAAGAGGTCAACAAAACCAAGGGAATTCGGATCAATTTGACAATTATGGTAATGGATTTCAAGATGATGGCTATGAAGAGAAAAATGAGGAGGTGCAATATGTGAATAATTACCAAGGCCAAAGAGGAAATTCTCCCAACCAATAACAACAATGGTGATCCCAGGGCAATTGGGGTAACCAACAACAAGGCAACAATAATTGGAACAATCAGCATCAAGGGAACAACAATTGGGGAAATCAAACTAACAACCGCAACAATCAAGGAAACTGGGGCAACAACAACAATTGGGGTGGAAATAACAACAACCAAGGCGGGTGGAACATTAACCAAGGAAATCAGGGGCAAGGCTTTCAAAGGCCCCCAATCTACCAACAACCGAACAACCCACCACCTTTTCCATCACAGGGTCCTAGTACATCCAACAATGAAATGGGTAGAATTGAAATGATGTTCGAACAGATGATGTAGAAGAATGCGGATTCGGATGCTCAATTGGCTTCTCACAATACCTCCATTAGAAATTTAGAGGTGCAACTAGGCCAAATCTCTCAATCTTTAAATACACGCCCTAAGGGTGCTCTACCAAGTGATACGGTAGTGAACCCAAAGGGAGGGAACAATCATGTTATGNAGTCCATAGAGGATGCTCTTAAGGAGATGTTAGACAACCAGAAGAAAATCCTCGACAACCAAAAGAAGCTTGCTGAGGCAGTTGATTCACACAGCAAGGCTCTCAAGGAGCTTGCTAGGGAGCACAAGAAGCTGAGGAAGACACGGGCCTCCAAGGAGTCCGTGAAGGAGCTGAGAGCGGATGTTGACAGACTGAAAGCAGATCACCTGCCTTTAGACTTATTGCTCCAGGGCCCAGCACCAGCAGTTCCTCCACAGCCGGAGCAGTCTCAGAGGCCTCCCAAGAGGAGGAGGATGATTCCCAGAGCAGATGATACAGTCATCCAGTTGGCCGACCCAACGGAGGTTTCCTCCAGTCAGCCACCGGATGTATCTCAGGAGCCTGTCCAGGTTCAGGCCCAGGTCCCGGCAGCAGAGCAGCAGGACACATGGAACCAGTCTGAGGTTCCCGAGCATAGAGAGGACCCAGGGACCACACATGAGCCTATGCAGACAGACAGGCCATAGGGACTTTCCTTATATCCTTATCCCTCTCTTTTTTTGATGCTTTATTTAGACTAGTTGGAATTGGGGACAATGCCAGCTTTCATTTGAGGGGGTAGGCCCTACATTTTGGATGACTATATATATTTAACAATTTTTATGCTTTCTTGATTTTTCATCTTTTGTTTGTATATATTTTCAACAATTTCGCACTTTTATTTTACCTTTGGTCTGTATATAAAGTTATGTTACATTGTAGATATTCATCCCATCTATTGTATATTCGACAAATCCCCTCTTGTATATATTCATTTTACTTTCCGCAAATTTTTCGTTTTTAGCTTCTTAGTTGTGATTTGTAGCTTCTTGTTTTGAAATTTGCAATAAGCCTTTGGTTTTCTTAATGCCACGGTTCTTTCCAAAGGTGGAGTTTTGTGTGAACCGGGTGGCTCTTTCCAATGATAGATGGCGTGACAACCTTCTTAAGGGTTTGAGTCCGTTTTTCTTTTTGTTTTTGGTAGTTAATAGTTAAGGGCACCTCAAGCAAAGCTTCACTTGGGCCTAGCACATTTGCCTTTGAACTTATGGTCAAAGACAATTTGTTGTATTTAGGATGGTGAAAGTCGTAACCTTGAGACTCTTGTGTTGGCCGATAATCATCAAGTGGCTTTTCGGGACCATTGTGAGCTTAAATCTTATTTAAGGTCGTTGTGGGCCCCCGACTATGTGTCTTTAGTAATCCCATAGCTTGTGTGGTGAGTAATCGTATTGCAAGTCCATATCCCGAGCCATTGGTCTAGAACTTGCCCTGAATGTTTGTTGAGGTGAAATCCTAAGAGAATTTTGACTTGAGACATGATTGTAGGATCTCCTTGGTCCAAATGATAGCTTAAATATTTCCATAACCTACCAATGATAAGATCCCTAGTCAACCCGTTTGAGCCTTAGACCTTTTTCCTTCAAGAACCATGAAACAAGCCTATACCCATTTTAAAAGATACCCTCTCTTGGCACCCGATCTTTCCTTTAGCACATGGCAAAAGTATAAGTTCGGGGGGGAGAGACGAGGATTGCAACAAAGTGGTAAAAAGGCACAAAAATGAAGAAAAGGAAAGGCAATGAAAAAGAAAGAAAAGCAAATAGACAAAAAGAAAGTTCAAAGTGAAAATGAATACAAAGGGATTCAAAGAAAAGCAAAGAATGAAAGGTGTGGAAAGTTGAAAAAGGAGAAAAGATCCGAAATGCATAAGAAAGAGTGACAATGTGTCTCTCTAACCCCTCAGAAAGAAGTGAAATGACTCAAAGAGTCAAGTGAATGGATGCCAAATGAATAAAAAGATGTGCTTAAGGGAAGATGGAACCTACTTAGACCAAAACACTCCCTACCCTGAACCAAAAGCCTTCGCAATGTCTCTACAAAAGTCCTATATGATCTTGAGTTGAATAAAGCTTACATTAGTGGATACTTACATAAGGGGCAAGCATATAGTACCTAAAGCCGGACTTGCGACTCTTTTTCTTGAGAGAGATGAGTGAATTCCCATTATCCTCGTTCTGAGTGCCATTATCTTAAAGGTGAGGATTGCTTAGGGAGAGTTGAGGATGTGTGAGTTTGGGTTCCACAACGACCGAAGTAATAGAAAAGAGTTCTTTGATGTGTTGAGTCAATTCTTGATGCTCTTGTGTCGCACTTGATCCATGGTCTTTTATAAAAGAATAAATGTGTTAATGATTCATGTGTATTGAGGGCAATTGTTAGTCCCAATTGAGGCTAGTTGAGGTTACTTTAGGACAGCTGAAAATTTCTTAGCTTTTCCCTTAAGGGGTGAGTCTTATTTTGTTTGCTTGAGGACAAGCAAAAGCTTAAGTTTGGGGGAGTTGATAACTAGGGATTTTGACGCATTTTATACTCCTTCTTGCTTATGCTTTGAGTAGAAATTCATACAAAATAGTCCCAAACGGCTCACAAGTTGTGCTTGATTGCAGGTTTGATCATCAAAGTGACGAGATGTCAAAGATCAGCTCAAAAGGAGTGAAACTTGCACAAGTGCCAAGACAAGACAAGCTGAGGCAAAACAGGCCCAGTGCGGCCGCACACCACTTTGTGCGGTCCGCACTAAGAGATTCAGAGAGGCTAACTTCCAGGCTAAGAGGCAGTGCGGTCGCACTAGGTTTTGTGCGGTCCGCACTGAAAGCAATGCGGCCGTAGTCGATTTAGTGCGGTCCGCAGAGCCAAGAATCAGAGAAGTTGCAATTTGGAGTTTTCAAGCCAATGCGGTCCGCAGTCCATTTTATGCGGACCGCAATAGAAGCCTCCGCGGCCGCAGTCCATTCTTTGCGGTCCGCGATACCAAGATTCAGAGAGCTGTTTTTCAAGGCCAAAGCCCCAGTGCGGACCGCAATCCATTTTGTACGGTCCGCACTAACCCCGCAGGGGCATTTTTATCCAGATTTTTCAGCCTAGTATAAATAGCTTCTTTTTCCATTTTTAAGGTATCAGATATTGTAATTAAGCAGTTGCACTCGTGGGTTCGACTTTCTAAGCCATTTTGGGCAATTTTAGCTACTTCTAATCATTGAATCTTTGTATTTAACTTAGTGATTAATTATTATGAGCTTTTCTTCATCTACTTCTTGTTTTTCTTCTTTGAATATGAGCAGCTAGACCCATAAGCTAGGGTTGTAGCTCAACCCTAGTGTGGGTAATTGATGGGTCTTGTAATTTAGGGCTAAATTGACTATGGGTGTTTGTTATTTGGGCCAATTTCATGGTTAATTTCTGAATTAATGGTTGCAAACACTAGTTTTTGTTGAGTTGACTTGAGCTCTTCTTGGGAAAGAGAGCCTAAGTCTCCGAAATTGGTCCAACAATGAATTGGGGCATACTTAAGAGATTGATAGCCCCAATTAAAGGGTTAAACCTCGAGAGAGTAACACCCGAATTGAACCCTAGTTGCTTGTGCAAATTTGCATACCCAATTGGTCTTGAGAAAGCTAATTCGGGCAGAATCACCCGAACCACTGAGAGGTGTAGAGTGGGTAAAGTCGCAACGGTTATAACATATTCCCCAAACATGTCAAACGTGCCTTAGATTCAAGTACCCGTCAATTGACCACCTAGGCGGTAGTCACTACCCTAGTGCTTTTTAAACCTATTTGAACAACTCGTAGCATTATAACTCTTAGCATAATTTAATTGCAATTACTATTTGTAGTTTCATAATAGTAGAAGTAAACAAAAACCCAAAAAATGAATAGAAGTGTAATTATGAACACATACACAATTCTACACTAGATAGATACTCGATTCCAAATTCTAGCTCTTTGTGGATTCGATCCCGACCTTAAATCGGGTAAAAGCTGCTCCGACCCTCTCTTGCTACTTAAATAGTAGTGCGGAGTAGGCCGCGATCACCTTACAGTCTACACACATTCTAAACTTGTTTCCTTTTTTCGAAATTAACTCTACGTTGTCTAACCACTCGGGGTATTTTGCCTCCCGAATGGATCCTATTTTACGAAGTTTGGTTACCTCGTCTTTTATGTAGGCGTGTTTTACCTCGGACTGAGGCCTCCTTTTTTGCTTCACCAATTTGAACCTAGGATCGATGCTCAGCCGATGCATGGTGGAATCCCTGTCATATCTAAATGGGACCAAGCAAAATAATCTATATTATCAATAAGAAATTGAATGAGTTTTTTCCTTAGTTCGGGGGTCAATCCCGTTCCCAGGTATTCTTTTCTCTCGGGCAGTTGGCTTGGTTGCATCGGACTCTTCGGGAACGACGAAGGTTCGAGGAATAAGGAAGTCCTCTTCTTCACCTTCGATTACCTGTTGTTCCGACTCCGTCGAGGTTGGGGGCTATGATTGCTATTTAGCCGCCTACTTACCTTTGGAGATCGGTTTCTCCGAGGTCAAGGACTCTGGTATCGGCACCACTTCCTCGATCGCAAACATCTCTTTTGCAGCATGTTGCTCTCCGTAGACTATTTTTACTCCTTCCTCCGTCGGGAACTTCATCATCTGGTGAAGAGTTGAAGGCACTGCCCTCATGTTGTGTATCCATGGTCTCCCGAGGAGTGCGTTGTACCTCTTGTCACCTTCGATGACATGGAACTTGGTGTCTTGTACGGTCCTGGCAACATTTACTAGCAAGATAATTTCTCCTTTTGTTGTTTCACTGCCATGTTGAAGCCATTGAGGACCCGGGATGCAGGTACAATCTGATCTTTTAGGCCGAGTTGCTCCATGGCCCTCGATCTGATTATGTTTGGTGAGCTACCTGGATCCACTAAAACATGTTTAACTTGAATTTTATTTAAAAGGATAGAGATTACAACGGCGTCGTTGTGGGGTTGAGATATGCCTTCTGCTTCTTCATCGCAGAATGATAGGACGTCCTCGGGCACATAGCTCCGAGTCCATTTCTCTCTCGTGATCGACACCTTGGTGCATTTGAACACATGTCGTTGAGGTACATTGACTCCTCTAATGATCATGTGGATTACATGTTGTGGTTCTTCTTGCTTATTTCCCCTTTCATCTCTCTCCTTGAAGTGATTCTTAGCCCGATCACTTAGAAATTCTCGAAGGTGGCCCTCGTTGAACAACCGAGCAACTTCTTCCCTTAGCTGCCTGCAATCTTCTGTTCTATGACCATGTGTGCCATGATACTTGCACATCAAGTTTGGGTTCCTCTGAGAAGGATCGGTCTGGATAGGCCTGGGCCACTTGGTGTCTTTGATTCTTCCAATAGCTGACACAATCTCGGATGCGTCTACGCTGAAGTTATACTCTGATAATCGAGGTACTTCTGCGGGATCAGCATGCTTATCGAATCCGTTTTTACTCATGAGTCCCCGAGAATTTTGACCTCGATCGTTTCTCCGATTGTTCCGAGGAGTGTTCCGACTTGAACCATTGTTTCTTCGATCGACATATGGTTGATACCGT